TCCAACAATTCCTCACACCATACCTAGTGGCATTATTTGGTTTTTAATGCAATGGGGCATCAGTAAAGTTTGATTAGTGGAATCTCTGCCATCATCTTAAAGAATTTTGGTGTGCTTTGATAGGCAAGTCTGAGTTCACAAATGAATACAGAGTAAAGGCTATATACTCTTTGTTCATAATATCTATTACCAGCTGACAGTTTCTACATACTCATCATGGATAACTATCTTTTGGGCTCTGAATCAAGACTTCACACCAAGAATATAATGTTCTTCCAGCTCTGTTTTTCACTGAACTACTATATCATCTCAAAGACATTTGTCCCTTAGACCATGTCATTTGTTTTTTCATTGTCTGCTTTGTTCTAAGGGATAGATTTCACCAGACAGAACTTTATCAATGGCATCATCCTATTAAAAACCAAATAGTGCAAAATTCTAGTAGGCAGAAAAAGATCAGAAGTGGCTAGTAGGTAGGGTGTATAAGACTGATTGAAAAAAAAAAAAAAAGGTAAGTCTCTATGATTTGGTGGAGTTCTGTGCCAGAGTATGGATAGAAGCTCAGTATCCTTGAAATGAGGTCAGACTAAATGAACTGTGTGCTCCAGGCTTATGAACATGACTGGAGATATATTATACACCAACTGAAAATACAACCCAGTAGTCCTTTATTAGGAAACTTAGGAAGATTATTTTGCTTCTAAAGATGTTTTGCTTCAGTTATACTAAAAGCAGATACTTTTTTATTTTTAAAATCATCTTATTTTCTATACCAATCCCATTTCCCTCTCCTTCCTTTTCTCCCTCTCCCCCCATCATCTCCCCATCCCACCCCCATCCACTCCACAGAGAGGGTAAGACCTCCCATAGGAAATCATCAAAATCTGTCACATCATTTGGGTCAGGCCCAAGGCACCCCCTCCCTGCATCTAGGAAGAGCAAGGTATCCCTGTATAGGGAATGGGCTCAGAAAAGCCATCTCATGGACTGGGGATAATTATTGGTTCCACTGACAAACACTCCAACACTGAAATCACCAGCCACATGTGGTAGTTATGGGAGACTGTTCATGAATGACACATTAGGTTCTTTTTTTCATATACTAGATGTTTAACAAATGTTTGTTAAAATAAAGGACCTTTTTCTTCAATGGCAGCAAAACACATGCTTAGCATGTTAATCTATAGTGCTAATAATGGGTTTAAAGAAATCTTTGGATGATAGTTTTTTTTTTTTCAATGTAAAGTTTCATTTTACATTCCAACCTCAGTTCTCTCTCCTACCCCTCACCCTGCCCCCACTTGCCTCCCCACCAGCCACCTCCACCTCTGTGACCACTCCTCCTCAAAGGGCTCCCATGAGGAGTCAACAAAGTAGATGACATTTGTAACAGGGAAGAAAGTGTTAGCAATCATTGTCTTTAGTGTACCCACTTCCTCATTACTGCCCTACAAAGTCTGTTCTTAAGCCTTCTATTCTTTAAAGCAATAATGAAATCCTCCCTCCACATTTGTATGTTACCATGTATAAAAGGAGATTATTTGAAGGATAAACTGATGCTTAAATTAGGTTACTCAATAAAACCAGTTATAATAATAACAGGGATATTTACTAAATAACAGCCATAGCAAACTTACTTGGTCTTCAAACCTTGGCTCCTATTTTCCTCTCCATTTACTGTCAGCATCTAACTCACTTCTTATTTCACAAATTATTATGAAGAAAGGCCAATGCAGATCACTTTGTGCATATGGTTGGGTGGCCAGGAATCTCCCATGTTGTTTATAAAGGAAGTGTGTGTGCTTTTCACTTGCACAAAATGTGCACAAGGAACAAAACATACATAGAAGAAGAAATGAGACTGCTTAAGTAGAGGAGGGTGTACAGCAGACATGGCAGGAGAATTAAAGGGCTCACTGATGGTAAATATGAAAATAGTACACTAAGACATGGGTGAAATAGTCAAAAGGACAACTTTAAATGCAGGAGCTGGAAAGATGGCCTGATAGTTTGGAGTGTCTGTTGTTCCTGTGGAGGACCTGAGTTAGTTCCCATCACTCACGAAAGTGAGCTTATAGCATTCTGTACCTCCAGTG